TGAAGCAACCAAACGTTTATATAAAGAGTGTAGTCAGAGTTTATGACTGTCCACAAACAAATCCAATACACTAGGCTTGCAAGGAAGCGTAACGGGATCCAAGCACCCAACGCTACTCCGAACCAAAATCTCAGTAAAACAGAGCGATTGGGAAGAACAGTACTTTAATTTTATATCATTAAGACATGCTATTAAATATCTCAAATTCATTGGGGTTTTCTTTTTTCAAGCCAGATCTAAGCAATTTCATTCGGCAAGTTCAATCTCTTATGTCCCCGTCTGTGGACATAAACTGAGCAATAGCATCTACTGTTTAATCAGAGCTACAGCTTTTCTTTAAGAGGCTTAATTCAACTAACAACCTCATTTCTTTACCCCTTAAAAGCCAACATAATCCTAGTTCAGCAGCACTCCGATGTCCTATAGATACCAGTTGAGGAATAGGTGGTTAGACAGAATAAAAAACAAAAGGCATGATTTATTCATTTTCCTGTGTGGAATTGTGTCAATTTGAGGGACTGGCTGAAAAACAGATTCCTGAGTCTGCTGTATACATAATCATTCATGACCAAACAGTTAAAAATACCTTGGCTAACACTTCTGAAGTCAGCTGACCACTGAGCTGACCTGCCTGACCCTTTCCCCACATGGCCTGCCTCACTGTGCTAAATTTTGCCTTGACAATCAATGTCGAGAGCTCAATGCTCTGGAACTGATAAGACATGCATGGAAGCGCCCCTGTTTCATGGAGATGTAGTCAGTGAAGGCACCGTGACAAAATGTCAGTATGTGATGAAAAGTGGGATGAAATGTGTGCGAGTGCGTTTGTGTGTTGTTATGTATGCAACTAGCCCATCTGTTAGTATTTTTGTTCAGGATACACATACCTTTCTTTACTATGTCTGACAGATATACACACACACTAACAGATACATGGCATTTGGTTGCTTATTGCATACGTGAGACTGAGTGGCAGTAAAAAATTGCTGCTGTCAAAATAACATCCATATTTCATGTCATGTATTTGTGATGGAATTGTCAACATCAACATCTGTGCGTGTAATAATCTGTCGCCACAAATAGTAGGGGCGGGGGGTCGATATTCACATAAGAACCGAGATTCTTCTTAGATTCTGATATCAAAAGATTCACACTGTCAAAATTCTGAAACACAGGAAAAGAGGTGTAAGGCTTAAAGTAGTTAAATAGAACTAACTTGAAGGGTATTGATGTGAGCATGAACCTTTCTCACTTCACCAAAAGCAAATGACGTCAAGACTGTGAAATTGTTTTTCATACTGGAAGTATACTTAAAAAATACGCTAAAATGTGATGGCTGGAAAAATGGCCTTGAGATTCCAGTCGCATAAAAAACCCTTTTCTCCACCACTGCAGTATGTATTCTTCACATCACCTTTCACCCCTCGCTTCCTCCTCTCCATACTTCTAGGAGATGTATAGGAAAAGAGGCCGTTGCTCAACCTTGGAGGGAAGAGTTGGATTTCAGCTTGAGGGATTCGGGTCACTGGATAGAGCCTGGACGCTGTGTTTCTGCTCGCCGTCCTCATCCTCTTACTCTGTCTCTCCACATTTTGCACTCACCTGCCCCTCTTTCCTACCATAATTCTTTGCAGATGCCTCCAAAACCATACTTCGATAAGCCAAAAATAGCCACCTGCACTCCCACTGTCATGTCCTAATATAATGTTAAATGTTAGCTCCTTAGCTAACAAGCTAAACGTTTTTTACTTTGTTACAGAAATAATGTCTCTTCTTCATTTTGGTGCTATCGTAATTAGCTGCTAATTGCAAGTATGGCTAATGTGTCCTGAGCTGTTTTAGTGGGCTAATGCTTGGATGTCGTGCAGACATGTTGTTGTAAATCCCTTTGTGATTGCTTAATGCTAACAACCACACGCGATACAAGCTAACCTTTACTTTGACCTGCTTTCCATGACAACAGTAAAAGCACATGCTATTGATCCAGTCGTAAGGCACTTTATGTGTCAGGATTAACACAGGGATTCAACAGCTGGATCTCCTGTGACTGCATATGATCATTTATTGAGAACAATTAACCCCAGAGAATCAAATGCAATCAGTTTCGGTTTAGGCCTTCACTTGAAGACTGAAGGATTTGTGTACACATCTACAGTTGGACCAGAAACTGCTTATGTCCCTGCGTTTCTCTTGATTGGAACTTGTTTATAGAGCTTCGAGGTCATGTTTGCATTTCAAACCATGCACAGCGTGAATAGCTTAACGGGGTCCCAGGGAATTTGCTGCAGCAAAGTACTTTTCATGCTGCTGCTGTTTTCCACCAAACACTGGCCCCTGTCCTCACCTTCTTGATAAGTTACAACCAGCCATTTCCAGGTCCCACTCTTACACCTATTGTATTGTCGCCCTGCATAGATCATTTACCCTTAGCTTATTCAATTAACCCAGCAGGCAACCAGCTTGCATATAAAACCTGTGTTTGCAGTTTGGCTGACGTAGGGCCAATCCGTTTACACATTAGGTCAGTTGTACATTGGTTAACTGTCATGTATATATATGTTGAGCAGGTTGTTATTGTTGGTAAACAGGCCTCTAGCTTTAAAAAGAGCAAACAGTGCTGGCGTCGGAGTCTGCTAGTTGCTGTAAAGGCTGCTGCCAGAGACAGATGACCATGAATCTCTGCTGTCCTTTAAAGTCCTACAAAGGTGGACCAGGACAAAAACATCAACGATTGCTACAGGATCTGTGCATAGTATTATTTTATGTTTGCAAATTAATTGAATTACCAGTAATAGAGGAAATTAAAAGGAGTTTTCTTGTTAATGTAAGCTTCTACGACTGAGGAACCAATTCTGTGATGTTAATAAGCATGCAGTTTCTAAAATAATTCTTTGTTTTGTGACATGAAAGTAAGACTCACTTTGGAATTTAACTGAAGGTAGTAACTAATTTTAGACCTTAGCATCCATAATTTTTTTGACAGTGCATTTGAGCTGGCAAAAGATTGAGAGTGGGTAAGAGAAGAGTCCTGTGCACATGGAAATGTGACATTACATGGAAATGCAAAATATTCTGTTGCGCCTGAACAGAGGATATCAGCATCTTTTAATGCCACTATGGCAAGCCCAGAGTGAAAAGGGCAAGCATCCTGGCAGATATCCTGCCAACTCTGAGACGCGGTCAGTCCACAGCATACTTTCCACTCGGCTGTATAACTCATTGAAAGTCGTTGGCCATTGACTTGAATATTATCCATTCCCTATGTATTAGAGGCTGTGCGTCCAGCATGACTCAAGATGGATGGGATGAGGCGAGGGGTCAAGTCCCGCTCTCTCTGTGTCCCACTTTTGGTGACAATGAAGCATATTCTGGTTGCTAGCACACAGTGATCTTGGTGGAGAGGTTGGTATAAAGGCTTTATTCATCTGCTGTAGCCCGTCACAAAGAGACAAATACATCAGCTCACAGGGGAATGGATGAAGGGATAGAGAAAAAGAGAGCTAGGAAAAGCATAGTGAGGCTACAGACTACTGTCTGCTCTTCCACTGTCTTCTTGTCGTGCACTTGTGTGCAATCATGTGCACGGCCAGCACATGTCGGTGTGTCTCTTTATTAGCTTGAATGCGGTGAGGAGGTTTTCATTAACCTCATGCAGTGAGAGGGCACTACCTTGACTGCCGGCTACGCTGCCCTGAGCTGTTTCTGCTCTCTGGGCACTGCAGTATAATCTTCCCGACCTATTTGCACTCTTTCATACCTTCCACGATAAGAGGCCCCTTATTAATGAAATGGGCTGTTTGACAAGGGCCAGCGAGGTCAACTGTCCCAATCAAGGATGCTCTTGCAACTGGGTAGTTGATCCTGAATCTTAGGGGAACATCCATGATCAATTACACACACCGCCTGTTTGTGGGCACACGGTCACTGACTTGACATCCACACCAATGTGCCTACACACACCTGCTTACCTCACACACCTCCGTCTGTAATCCCAAGATATACCGACAGTTGTCAGCTGCAATCTGGTACTCCTCTTGAAATGAGAGTCGTGTTGCTCATCCACAAAGCGCATCACCTTCTGGTCTCTGCATCCCTTGTTGCTGTGTGGGGGTTGATATTACCGCCTATGTGGTGTTTTTTTTTTAAACCATAGGGGGGTATTTCACTTGGGAGAGAAGGTTCTAGTGGGATTTCACTACAGCATTTTGCTCTAGTTTTATTGCTCTGCCTGTGTCTGTTTTTCAAACTGAACTGCAGCAGGATGACATGGCAGAATTTGTGGTTAGGTGAGGTTTTGATTAGGCCTTGGGGAAACTGAAATGGCATACTGATTCTGAGTAGCACAAGATAAATAAAATGATAGGAGGGAGGGAAAAAATATGTGTTCACCTGATCTTTCCATTCGTTTATCATTTCTAACCCAATGGCCACACTGCCTGAGTCCAAAAGCCACTATTGACAAGCGCAGAAGCAGAGACACGTCAAACCTCGCACACAAGCACACTCACAACGCTGTGTCACCCCCCACCTTCCCCCATAGCTTAGCCTTGTGGCATAATCCCATTAGAATCAATTAAGCAAGTCAACAAACTGATCCTGCTTCTTTCAAATGTGGGGAGAGGTCTCCTTCTTCTGTCTGACAGGACGATGGAGGGAAGGAGGGAGGGAGGAAGAGAAGGAGTATAGGAAGAGGATGGTGGTGCCGCTTTGGAGTCACATGACTAATTTGTGTCTGTTGCAGGGAGTACGGGCAGCTGTCCAAAGTCATCCCTCCCTCCCTCTCCATCCTTCACTCTGTCTCTCTCGCTCTCCCCCTCAAACACATGCATTTGTTAGTGTCCTAAAGCCCATTGCATTCATGTGTTTTTGCGTGAGTGCAGTTGCGAGATTTTGCCATTTAGGATTGTCAAATTCCATATGCGGTGACTGCATGTTTTTTTCTTGAACGAGCGGGAACTGCTGTCACTAACCATGTCCCTCTTCTGTTGCTTCTCCCTCAGGGACTATGGCTCGAAGCGCAAGTCGGGTAAGTCACCTGTTTTCCTTCACTATCCTTCACCAAAGCTAACTTCACCCTCCTTTCTCTTTCAACTTGTTGCTCTTAATAGAACACCTCTTTGAGCTCCAAGGGGGGGACATTATGCTGCATGGCGTATGACTCTTAAACTCTCCCTGTGACTTGTCTGTTGAGTGATGTCAATGTGTGGAAAAGAAATAGAGGGCTTGTTTACTTGTCCTGGTGTGGAACGCTGACTTACTGTCGTCTGGAGTGGTTTGAAAAAGCTGCCAAGCCCTCTACTTCTGGCCCTAGATTTGCCTTGCAGTCCAGGGTGGGGTTTCAGAATTGCCTGACACTTTTATGGGATGTCAAAATAGAGTCATTAACATATGTCCCGTTAAGAGAAAGCGTTATTCTTGGATGTGGCAGTCAGGACTTTTAAAGGATTGTTTGCTTTTTGAATGACACATGTCTAGTATTCTAAATAATAATTATAATAATGATTTTTCTTTATAAGAGATGCTTTTGAAGGTATGTGCTAGTTAGGGGACACCCTGAGACTTAAGAGGTAAACAAAAGCTGTAATATGATAATATTAATATGTGATTATTATTATTAATATTAATATTAATAATATGATAAAACATAGGCCCTACTGTGTGCAAATCAGTAGAATATTGAGTAAAAACATCCAGTCATACATCCGCTGCATCCAACATGTGAATTCAGTGGCACGGGCCATCAAGCCAATAACAGGCTTGTTTGACTGTAAGGCTATTCATCCATTCCTTACTGTCAAGCATTCTTTGCCTCATTAGCCATCTTAGCAAATGTATGGCTTTTAGAGGGTATTAGCTACAGTATAGCTGCTTAACAAAAGCATTGGTACATGTGAGTCACTAATATATGCATCTTAGAACCCTGTGTTTTTAAGAGTAGGTAGACTGAGGGAATTCAGGGAAGTATCAGTCATACCTCTCATGAATTATTGATAAGGAAATGCAGGAAATGGCTTGTGGTTAATGGAGAATATGATTCTCTTGCTACAGATGCCTTAAAAGACTGCTTTGTCTTTATATATAAGTAGCTTAAAGGTTGTGTTTGGAACTGGAAATCTTTTGAGAGAGCTTTTGCTAATGAGAAGGGGTACAGCAATGCAAAAAGTAGCTTATATGTTGTGTCTAATGGTCGACCGATTTTTCAATGGCCAATGCTGATATTTAGAGAGCAACAGCTTGGAAACAGCTTGTTTGGATGGAGTTTTTATTAATGAATGAAATAGATGCATAGTACAATCTAAGATACATGATTATCTTAGCCAGTAACGTGTTGTTTTAGATGAAATGTTAATGGATGAAATAGAAAAATACTTCAGAACATGACTGGTGTTTAAGTGAGAGGGGGATGAAGTTTGTCAGAAGTGACGTCATTCAACTGCATTATTCTCCAACAGTATAACAATATATATTTAATGTCAGCCAGTAATGGTTTTAAATTAGATCTGCTGTCATTTAGGATGATATATTGGCCTCGTGAGTGCAGGTTTTGGCCGATCCAGATTAATATAAAATCGGCCAGATACCGATTAATTGACCGACCAATGAATCGGTCTATCACTAGTTACATCCCTTTGATTTTTAGCTCATTCATAAACCTTTTGAATAAATGTCAAGGTGACTTCTTTCAAGTAAACCACTCTTGAAATTAATTGTGAGTTTAGTTTTGAATTAAAAGCACAGGCACCTTGTGACCCTCTTGCAAGGAATCGGTTTTGATGTATCCCCAGAGGGAGCTTACTACCAATTCAATTACATCCACATTCCTTAAAGTGGAAGCTGATTGCTGCTGCAGATAAGCCAGCTTGTGGTTTTTCTCTACATCCCCACAGTGTAGCGCATTATGCTTTGAAACAGCTGGCTTTCATACCCTTTGTGTCAGCAACCTAAGTCTTTGGGATGTTGCCCAGTTGGATGCCACTCCACTGACCCAGTGATCTCTGCTATGACCTGAAGTAACATTATGTCAGTCAGCATTGCAAGAGGGTGTCTGAATGTCTATTTTTAGTTACTGAACGTCTGCAATATTTTTGTGAGTGGAAAGTGAAGGAACACTATCCCCTAATGAAGGGGAAGTGCCACATGCCCTCTGCACCCGATCTCTCCTATAATTTGATTCTTGCAAACAAATGGCACAAGGGGGAGAATGGAAGTGGCATCATGAACCAATTAAAATAAACTTATCAGTATTTTTTATATACATGCAGAGGTGGTGAATGACATAAAGTAGATCACACCCTATCGCTATCCTAAAGGACAGGGCGTATTTGTGGTGTTTTCTTTGTGCTGCTGCTCTCACTGTAAACCCCTGAGATGCTTCTGAAGGCTTTGTGTTGAGAGAGGGTTTAGTAACCACCGTTCATCATCATAACATTTAGGGTAGAGTAAATCTTTTTCCTTTCAATGTTCGCTGTTGTTTAAACTGTGTCGACCTATGTGGATGTGTGTGTGAGAGTGTGTGGAGGTTTGTTTGTTTTATTTGTTCATAAACACAAATGTAAAATTACAATTTGTTGAGTTATATGATGCAACTTTTTCTTAGCAATCAACACAGTACACAGTGCAGCTTCTTGAGAAGTTGTCGACCGATGGCCAATGCCAATATTTAGACAAGAACAAAACAAAGTCATGTGTAATTCTATTATTCCATGCATAGTACAATCTAAGATACATGATTATCTTAGCCAGTAACGTGTTGTTTTACATGAAATGGTAATGGATGAAATAGAGACATACATTGGGTTCTGCTGTAGATTTCAGAACATGACTGGTGTTTAAGGGAGAGTCGGGTAAAGTTTTTCAGAAGTAACCTCATTCAACTGCATTATTCTCTACAGTATAACAATATATATTTAACTCTAGCCAGTAATGGTTTTAGATTAGATCTGTTAGGAAAAATGTTTTAACACTTAGAAAAGACTAAGGCTGAGGAAATTTAGGGCTGACATGATGCCGATTTGTTAAATTTATGAATTGATGCTTTGTCAGGTCTGACAGCACGACAACTTTTAAAATATTTCTTTTCTGAATGGAGTTCGGATCGATCAGGGCAACAATAGCTGGAATCAAGTAACAGACACATATTTTCCAAACGTAGTTCAACTTCTTCGCTTTCTTTTCTCCAAGTAATGTCCAGTTTTGTCCCTTTTTTAATATAAATATGAAGTAGTATCACAGAGCTCTGGGTGCCCACGGTAGCTCGCTGCTGAGAAGCGCGAGTGAAGATAAATCAATGTTTTAATTACAAAGAATAAAGTCAAAAGTTAATTTAATAAAAGCAGTCAACTCTGAGCTCCTCCCGTGGGTAAACGGCGTAGTTGTCGGAGCATAATCCAGTCCCAACTACGGATGTTTACTTGTCCAACAGCTACTGCGCTGCCTCCGAGCTTTCTCTTCCAGTGCTCAGCAGCTCTCCGTCGGCCAGTGGATAGGCTATCGCGACACAGCGTCATGCGACTTTCTTGCTCGAGTTGAAAATTTTCAGCAGCCAGCAGCGCCCCCTCCCCACTGCCTGACAGGAAATCTCTTTTCTCTGCATCTTTGCATTGACTTTGTATGTAATCGCGCCGCCCCAAACCCTCACTTTTGGTCTGAAAGCATCATTAGAGGTGCTGGTATAGTTGTAAACTTGAGAAAAAGCCAGACTAGCTGTTTACCCCTGTTTTCTAGCTGCAGCTCCTGCCCCTAGCTCCATACTTAATGAACACACAACAGTGATAAACATCTTCTCTTCTGTCAGAAAGAAAGCAAATAAGTGTCCAGAATGTTGAGCTGTTGCTTAAAGTTACTTTGAGTGTTTCGTTTGTTTGTTTGCCCGTTTTTTCCACAATGACTATTGCTGCTTTCAACATGCCGTTCTTCTGTTCATTCCAAACAAATTGTTGTTGTCGTTGCTGGAAGCATAAACGTATCGCTTCCACTGTGCCAGAGCACTTTTCTCAAGCAACAGAGGATGTTTTGAACAGCACATGTACACTGGGTATTTGTTGACTCACCATTGTGTAATATCAAGCTGGCAAAAAAGAGTAGCAAAGTGGAAGACAGTGGCCCCCAGTTGAGGGTGTCCTGATGGCTTAACCAACCAGAAAACATTTGAAAGTGTATTTTATTTCATTCCACCTAATGATTCAAAAGAAAGAAATAAATGAAACAGAACACTAATTCATCTTACCTCAACTCTGCGGGGGACATATCATATCAGGCGTGTTTTTGTTTTCTAAAACATGGGGTCAGGTCAGGTCCAGGGAGTTTCAGGGGCCCGTGGCTCTGCACTCTTCCCCTGCTCTGCAGAGTGCAGACGGCGCTTGCGTTCCTCCGTGTGAGGGCCAGATTCAGAGGGAATGGAGGAGGGTGCTGTTTGGGCTGCAGAGGCCTCAGGGTTGAGACAGGCGCTACTTTGTTTACGTGGCACAGTGGATAAGATTTCAGTCAGATGCTGGAATGGCCAGTCGTATTTACTTGGAGGAGGGAGGAGGGCTGTATCTTCATGTCGATGTGTGTGTGTGTCAGGGTTTTTACAAGTTAAGGTTTAGTGGACAGGGGCAGTTTGTGTGTGTACATATCTGTTAAGCTGTCTGTGCTAATTAGGATCTTAGAGCCGGGCTGTGGTTTGTACAATCAGGAGTTCCTCAGTCAATAGACACATTTATATGACACTTACACCCTCCATTACCTGCTGTGCAGAACCTGTGAGAATAAAATCCTTCTCTATGTTGACCTTAACACATTTAACATCACACTGAGCACTTAATTGCAGCAATAATAACGTCAGCACACTCTTATCTCATCAGTGTTGAAGACACAGTAAAGTAAGTATTGATTTAGGCCGAAAAATGATAATTGTCTATCACAGCTTTATAGCTTTAAAGCCTTGTGGCTCAGCAAATGCAGGATGACAGAGCAGTAAGAGTTCTTCCCTGGGGAGTGATGGTGTTGTGTCTGCGTGGCTCGGCTTCCTTTAAATCTAAAGGAGGCGACGTTTAAAACAAAAACCTGTGCGTGAGGTGAGCCAGAGGAAAGAGTGAAGCACAGAGCAGGAGAACAGGAAGAAGAGAGAGTTCGGACGGCCCAGAAGTGGCAGCGCTCGCCGTGGACCAGATGTGGCCTGTGATGTGATTTGACCTCACCCTGAAGCGAGCACCCACACCGTGTCACACTCTCCCAGCTTGGATCGGGAAGCGTTCGTCATTGCTAACGGCTGTTTTTTTGCTAGCTTTGTGTCACGTCACACAAATGTTATTTGTCCCGCCAACGTTTGTGTGTCTCACAGTCAGGGCTGAATTGTTTCCTCTCTGCTGGCCTCTCCACTTCTTGCTAAACATTGCGTCAATACTAGTTAGCGTCTGCCTGTGGTTTGACATTGTTAGCGCTGGTGTCACTCTCGGCTGCTGTGCTTTTTCACAAGTGTCGAATCAATATTGGTTAGCTGTAATTTGTTATTGGTCGCCTTTGTCTTGGTTCTTTGGGATGTCAACAATAGAGTCATTAACGTATGATTCTTGTTTGTCAGTTAATCAAATCACAAAGCATTCCCTCAAAATACTTACTATGTGTGCTCAATAATTTGTTCTCTCAAATGAGGAATTTATACACTTGAATTACAAAAACAATATTTGACATATAAAGATACAGGCAGCAATACCATGTTACGCACATAGGATATATAGGCTACAGACCACACAGTTGTGGGTAGTTGTGCACTCAAGGGATAGGATATACTGTTAGCCAGCATTGTTTTTAGGGCAGATTGGGTTGGAACCAAAGTCTAAATATGTTTTTTTTTCTCGCTGCAATGAGCCCTGCTAAGCCTAGTCTACGCTGATTGAGAGTAAGGGATTGCTGTGAATCATCATTCAGAAGGCAGAGGCAGGTTGGACGTTAGTTTCCAGTAGCAACTACACTGTAGAAAATACATCATTCCAGAAAACACACCCAAAATGTGTGAATTGTTGTGCCAAGTGCCTGTTCTTGGGAGATGTTTCATTTAAAAAAAACTCATTTGATATATATGATATATATATAAACATTAAACCCTGTGTATTAAAAGTCCATTTCCCACACCCTTTCTGCTGCTAGTTCTTTAAAGTGATGCTGATGTAACGAATCATAAATGCGAGTTACACTCCCTCTAGAGCTTTGTGCGAGTCCAACCCATTTCTCCATGGGGGGCTCTGGCACTGAGTGACTCCAGGGTACACCATAAGCCTTCGCAGATCTCAGCCTCAGATGTTGTAGCTGTTAAACACACTGTATTTTCTTAAATTGACTAGAGATAGTGAAGGTAGATAGGTGCCTTACACAAGAGACGTGGTTGGGGGCAAATTAAATAATCTGAGAGCAGGATGTCGGCATTTTAAGGCTTGAAAAAGAATTTAAGGGAACAAACCAGGCTGCGTCTACCAGGCTTCATAGGGAGTTGACACACTCCTTGTTGGTGGGGTGGGGGTTGGGGGCTAGTTGTCTAGTATTAATCCCCTCCAATCCAAACCTATAAATAAGGACTTCAGAGAAGCCATTTTCACCCTCCCTGGGCCCTCAATCGCGGGGGAATTTAGACATTTGGGGATCCAGAATTCTAGGAAAATTATCGACAGCAGCAAAGGGAGAGAGAAAACACTCCTGGTTCTGCTGGTGTGTTGCGTCATCGCTCAAACCTGAAAGGAATTAAGCATCCGTATGTATGTGTGTGTATTTGTTTAGAGGGGGAGTGATTTACCCTGGAGAAAACCAGAGTGGAGAGGAGGGTTAACTTTAATCAGATGTTGACCGCTACAGTGACAGCAGCCGGGTGGGTAATAATAATCACTGAAGGGAGTTAGCGAGTGGGGTTTGACCCTGGCTGACCTGGGATGAGCCCGTATCCCTCCCTCTGGGGCCAACATCAATCCAGCAAGGCTCCTGAGGCTCTGGTGGATAGCGAGAGGGGATTTGGCTTTTATTATCTCACGTGAGTCAACGGAGAGGAGCTGCCGGCTTCACAGCAGGGGCAGCACTCGTCAGGAAAACGTGTACTTATCAAATGATGAGTTCACTATTTAGGAACCCGCACTATTTTCAGATTGATGACAATTTGCGATGGCTTTTGAATGTTTCATGGACCGTAGAGCGATAAAACGAGATGTACTTGTTAAAGCCATAAACCAAGGAAGATATTTTTGAACTACCAGTTAGTTAGCCTGCTTCCAGGCCCCTGATTCACTGCCCACATAGCTCTGCTGATGCGCCCATTGATGGCAGTTTCTCCTAATTCTAGAAACAGTCAAAGCTGTTGTGAGTCTAGTTAAGACAACACGTCTTTGATTATTGTAAAAAACGGCTGGCTACATAACTGCTCCTACCAAGGGTAGTAAACACCTAGAGGAGAAAACAATTAAAACCATTGTTAATCAAAATGATCGATTAAAAGCAAAGGAAATCCAAGATAAGTAGGACTGGATAATATGTAAACAATATTGCACAAGAGGGTGTGCTTTACTGTCATTATTTGTACGACAGGGATGTGGTTACAACTAAATGAAATATTTAATGAGAATGTGTTCACATTGTGGGGAAATTCACTCTTGAAATACATTTTTTTTTGCTAGTGTTATCTCTGTCTCCATGGAAAAACATGGGGTCTGACTAATAACTGGAAAACAATCAGTCACGTTAATAGACTCCCATGTAATAAAACCTACTTTACTACTCCAGGAGTTAGGTCAAGTTGAACTACTTGTCGAATGGTTGTACATTTTTAATATCTGTGCCAAGAGTTTTGGTGCTGTTACCAAACCAATACTTTCCTTTATTTGGGGAATATAAACATGCTTTAGTCCTTTTTTTTTAAATTTACAAAATATGTCAAACTGCTCATAAAATACAGTATAAAGGGGGGGTGGGGGTGTTGGGTGAGGCGAAAGGGGATCATGGAAGTGGAGTGGAATGAGTGTCATGCAGTCTAAAGGAGGGAGGGTAAACATTAAGCTGAACAACATAGCTTTGTGTGTCAGACCCAGATGAGGAGTATTTGCAGTAATTTATCTCTGCCACTTTGTATTTCGCGTTCAGTAGGTGTGATAAAGGTGTGCTTTGCCATACTGTTGCTTCTGCATGCTGTCAAACTGAATAATCTCTCTCTGCTTCTCTTCTTCCTTCTCTTCGTCTGCAGTATGGATGTACGGCTTTACAGACAGCCCGAGGAAAGAGGCCTCAGGTAGCCTTGTGCGTCTCTGTCAACATGTTGAATATGCATGCGCTACTGTGCTTGTGTGAGAGAGACGTGCCAGCTGCATCCCTTTTGGTTTTCAGTTTACTTCTTTTCAGACTAGAGCTTTCTCTCGACATCTGCTTTGCATGCGCTGTCATCAGCCTCTCCTTCCACCCATCTGCTCAAATTCACCCTCTCTTCCTCTGCAGTCTGTCCATCCATCTTTGCAGACCTGGTTGTCCAACGTTACAGCTGGGCAAAGTGCCAGGGCCAGAACATGGACCTTAGGTGAAGCGTCTTAGACTGAAATGAGGTGTCAAGTCGGGTTCTTTACATTTGTCTGCAAAATAGATCACTGCTGTGACCTCAATCAACTTTGGGTGTATGGGTGTATAGGACTAATGAGCCGAGAGAGAAGAAGAGGAATCAAAATGGTCTCTATTGCAAATAAACATTCCAGGAAAGAACATGTTTTTCTTGCAGATATAAATGCACATTTTGACACAAATACAATCCCATCTGGTGAACATTTAGTCAGTGTTCTTTGAGACATTCAACTTTAATTGAGGCATTGGTGGGGAAAGATATGTTGTTTCCTTCCATTAGAACTGTCACTGTGTCAGTACGAGTTAGGAACAACAAAGACAAAGCCCCCTTCGAACAGACTTAGTCACACAAAAAACACATCATATTTCTTGCAGACGCGAAGGTTCAGAACTCTCTAATTTCCCTAATTTCAACATGAAATCTTGTGCAATAAAAAATATTGCGATGTTGAAGGCAGAATGTAACAGGTCTCAACAAGGCGTAGTTGCTATTACAACAGCATAAAGCTTTTAAATAGCTGGATATGTGCTGCTTTATTACCTCAGGCTGACTTTGATTGCTCCCTGCACATACGTACATTCTCTGCAATATGTTACTTTATTTTGCCTCCCGGGAGAATGCGAAAGAAGAAAGACTGAGATGAATGCCCAGCCTCACCCAGTGGGGAAGTGAGGTTACGAGCATTCCCTGGAGTTCCCCGCCTGTTTATTTGAGGAACAACATGTAGAGATGCTTAATTGTGTTTTAAGCACTGCGTCAAAGCTTTAGCCTACTTCTTATTCCCCCATGTATGAGTGAACTGCAACATGTTTCACTCTCATAAAAACACAATACAAGGCCACTGTGAACACTCACTATTTACTGTAGATGTGAGCTGCACAGTTAACACTAGGCTTATTCTAGTGATGATTGATTCTTCTAAGCTAGAAAGATCTTCTCCTAGATCTTTAAGGACAGTGTCATCTAACATGCTGGATATGCACAGCTTAACTCTTATAATACAATTTATGTTCAAGGTCTAATCCCATTTACAAAATGACAAAGACGCTGACAACAGAGAATTCACCATCTCAGATGGAGAGATTTGCTGACAAAGAATGACACTTACTTTTCTTTTCAGCCTCAGTAATTAGCCAGTGATTATTTATTTGCTCATCACAGACTCCACATGATTTCTGTATTGTGTCATTGCTGGGGCTGACGTGCCTTTTCCCTTCACGCATGATGATGTATGATGTGTAGTATATTTTCTTAACATTACATTAAATGACAGCGTTTAGTACCAGTCCACTCAAAGTTGGTGGATGGTTGTGTAAATGCATTCTTGTCTGACACCTTGTCACACATTTTGACCCCAAAAATCTAAAAAAATCTATGACGTACTTACAGTGTTGGGAGTAACGTGTATTTCAGTAATGTATTGGATTTGCTATAACATGGCTCCTCCTAACAAGACATAGCTCCCCTGATGGATCATGCGTAAATAGATTTCTATAGGCTGTGTGTTTGTGCTTTAATGAATTACTTTCATGATTAGAGAGGCTGCTGTCAATCCATCCTGACCGATCTTGTTGGAGTGTTGGGGGATTCAAATAATGAATGACGTTATGCTGCTGTACCACGTGTGTAAATGCGCACAGCATCTTTCTTAATGGGGAGACGATTCATCCTATTTCACCCCTCGCTCCACGCGCTATTAATCAGCAGGTTATGGCAAAGACCCACCTGATCTGCGGATAAACCTATACAGCACATCTTACTATCAGAATAATGCTCCCATTAAACAGCAGTGAAAAGTAACGCAAAAGTAGTGTAAAGAATTACAATTAAGAGACAGTAATATTGCAATAAAACTAATTACTCTCAAATGACAGTAACTATCAATCTATAATGTATCACAGTTTGGAAGTAACTTGCCCAACACTGCGTATGTAGTGGGAGACCAACCCCAAACTGTGAGTCATCGTCACATTGTCCAGCATGTATGCATGAGCAACTGAATGAAGGCAGACTAGGTAAGCCTCGTTTTTAGCCCTGCTGATTGCCAGGAATGCCTTTTGCTATGTCTTAATGCAAATTGTGATATTGGGAGTACTGCTGAAAAGATGAAAGTCTACGCTTTACAATAGCACCAGTCAATAAAATAGGTTTTTCAAAAATTGTGAATCACAAACAGCCCCAACAACTAATTTTTTGCGAAAAAAAACCAAACTAAATAAATAAATTTTAAGGATACATACATAACCGTATACCTATATACACATACCCATATACATAATAGATGAATAAATAAAGGGGGGGGGGTCCTCAAATTACTTTAAAGAGGGAGGAGTATATTCTTCTCAAAATAGCTTATTAGAGGGTCCCATGTTTTGTAAAATGTTATGGTTGATCCCCTGAGAAAATATTTAATTTTTTCAGTTTTTAGAAACATCATTAGGTCACTAAGCCATGATGACATAGTAGGTGGATTGTGTGATTTCCACTCTAGGAGAATTCTTCTTCTAGCTATTAATGTGACAAAAGCCAGGGCATTCTCTTTATTTTTAGCTATTTGGAGGTCGTCACCTCTGACTCCAAACAGAGCCATTATTGGGTTAGGGTGAATTCTTAATTTAAAAACTGAGTTTAAAATCTCAACAGCTGGACTACAACTGGACTTGAGGATAATTGCGATGGTGAGAATTCTGACTTCATTGTAATCAGCACAGCAAGCGATGTTGACCTGCATGATAAGGCTTCCACTGCACACCAGTCTGTATGTGGAGACTGAAACCAATAAACGACTTTTTGTAAATTTGCTGCCCAATAATAATTTAACAAATTCGGGAGAGCCAATCCTCCATCCTTTTTTGGTCTCTCAAGAAGCTCTCTACGTATCCTTGTTTTTTTGCCAACCCAAATAAAGGAAGACAGCAGCCTATTAGCTGACTGAAAAAAGGATTTTGGCAGAAAAATTGGGAGACTCAATACGGTAATCTGGATAGCACATTCATTTTAACACAATTGATTTTACCAGCTAGAGACAAATATATAACACTCCAACGTTGGAAGTCAGATTCAAGTTTTTTAAGTATGGGACTGTAATTTGCTTTAAACAGACCAGTGTATGAGCGAGTAATATTAATTCCCAAGTATTTAAAACCAGATTTTGATATGCAAAAGGGCAGGTCTGTATCCATGATCTGATCTGCCATATGGTTTATAGGGAAGCATATACTTTCAGAAAAGTTCAGTTTATAACCTGAAAAGACCCCGTAGTCTTATAAATATCTTCACAATCTGAGAGGCACACGACAGCGGATTAGTTATATATAATAATAAATCATCAGCATATAAAGAAACTTTGTACTCAACATTCATTCTTTTAATACCACTAATAGAGTGTGAAGTTCTGAGTACTGATGATAGTGGCTCTATAGCTAAAATAAATAGCAAAGGGCTAAGGGGACAACCTTGCCGTGTAACAGAGAGAAATATTGTGAGCATATTTGTGATTACAGCTGCCTTTGGTTGATGATAAAGCAGGCGAATCCAGGAAGTGAATTTTGGACCGAATCCAAATTTGTCTAACACAGCAAATAGATAGTTCCATTCAACTCTATCAAATGTTTTCTCTGCGTCCAGAGAGATAATCACTTCAGGACTACCCTCCAACGCAGAGGAATGTACAACATTAAGACGTTTTTGAATATTAATGAAAGAGTGACGTCCCTTAATGAAGCCCGTTTGGTCTTGTGAGATAACTTCTGGAATTAGATGCTCTATTCTAGAGGCCAATACTTTAGATAAAATTTTAACATCCACATTTAATAAGGAAATCGGTCTATAGGAACTACAATCCAGGGGGTCTTTATCTGGCTTCAGGAGAACTGTGATATGGCCCTGTGTAAGACTTGATGGCAGAGTCGACTTTTCGAGAGAATTGTTGAACATACTGAGAAGTAAGGGAGACAGAAGAGAATTTTTTATAGAACTCGACGGGAAATCTGTCTGGTCCCGGGGCTTTACCGCTCTGCATGGCTTTGATTGAATCTTCTATCTCTCGAAGTTGTAAGGATTTATCCAGGTTACTCTGTTGATCTTGTTTAATTGAGGGTAAGTTTACATTAGCCACGAATGCTGACATAAAAGTGACATCCTGTGGAAATTCGGAAGTATACAAATCTGAATAGAATTTTTGAAAAGCAGAATTATTTCTTGAGGGTCCACTGACAATTGATCCACTTCTTGACATGTTTTCCTAATCTTGGGAATAAGCTGGGATGCTGATTTAATTTTTAACTGTTGGGCAAGTAGATGACCTGCCTTTTCTCCATGTTCATAAAACCTAGCACAGGCAAAAACCAAATCATGCTCTGTTTTTTCTGTCGATAATAAATCATATCTTGTCTTAAGGCACAGTTTTGGTTTTGGAGCCATAGTATATTGGTGATCAATTTTCCGTATAGATTCTTTGTTACGTGAGGCAGAGTACGATATTATTTCTCCCCTTATTACAACCTTGAATGTCTCCCATAATAATGATGGTGATATAGAGTCTGTTTTATAAGTTAGTAAAAAGTTGTCAATCGCGTTAGATATGAACTGGCAAAAGGTTGTATCTGAAATTAAAGTTGTGTTCAGTCTCCACACAGGCTGCGATGGGTAGTTATAAGAGAAACAAATATCGAGAATGACGGGGGCATGGTCTGATTCAACAATAGCAGAGTAAAATCTTTTTTATTGAGGGGATAAGCCTTTTATCGGTGAAGAAATAATCTATCCTTGAATAAGTCTGGTGGACATGTGAAAAACAAGAGAATTCTTCTTTATCAGGAAATAAAAATCTCCATGGATCCACACAACCAATTTGTGTCATATAACCCGCAGGAGTCTGAGACATTTTTAAGAGGGGTACTGTTTTAGGGTGGAACGATCCGTAACCATCACACAATTCAAATCTCCGCCAAATATAAGGTGTATAAGTGTTTAAATCCGGTAACAAGGAAATTTTTTTTTTAACAAAGTTAATGTCATCCCAATTAGGTGCGTAAACACTGACCAAGACTACTGGAATATTAAAGAGATGACCATATACAACAATGTACCGCCCTTGGGGATCTGAAATCGTTCCAGATGCAGTAAACTGTATTCTTTTGTGAATAATTGCTGCACCCCTAGCCCTATGGTTAAAACTGGAGTGGTAGGCCCGGGGCGACCCAATTTTTCCTCAGCTGGTTATGATCTTCAGTACGCAGGTGCGTTTCATGTAGAAAGGCTATTTCTGTATTCAATCTCTTCAAATGCGTAAATATGCGAGTTCTTTTCACTGGTCCGTTTAAGCCTCTAACATTCCAACTAATAAAGCGCACAGCTGACCCTCCAGTACTTGTCACCTTATCACTAGTGTCTACCATTATTTATCAATAGTTGTCTGTGTGCCCAAATATCGTATACCCCCCCCCAAAAAACAAAAACCCAGCAAATGGTACATTTTAACAAACCCAACCAAACTATAAAACAGTCTAGATTTGCCGTAGCATACAACTATCTCTCAACTTCCGACGATCCAAGTCCATATCCTTTTCAGTTATTTCCCAGAGCTCCCGACATAATATCTATCCAGAAAAACGTTAAGCATAAAATGTAAAATCAAGCCTACCCATGAGTGTATAAACGGACCACAGGCACCATTACCAGACACAGCGTCGCATTAATAATGTCGCATAAACATGAATGTGAGAGAAAAAAAAGGGGGGGGGGGGGGGGGCAATCAATGGTAAAGGTTTTCATCATCATTACAATTACTGAATAACCTGTTAATTAGCCCAGCTAAATAAAGTGCATTATGTATTAGACCTAGAACAGACCTGTCACATTAAGGTGTTTTAAACCTGATATCAAATGTAGGATCCATAAGCCTACTAAATGAGTTGTGAAAAAAGTGCATTGCAATTATCAACTCAAAGGAGAACATAAACCAACCTAGTCAACATTTCTCTTCTGTAACTCGCAATATTGCTGCCATAATATCAAGGTTTATTCATGTCTGGCAACAACCGCTGGTCGTAGAACTGCTGAGACTCATCAGGCGTATTGAAAAGTAATGTTTTGTCCCCAAAACGAAATCGTAGTTGTGCTTGATGGAGCAACTGGAATCGTACCTCCTTCTGATACAGCAACTGTTTTTAAAAGCGGCGCGTTTTCTGACGAGATCGGCAGAGATGTAAGGATAAATCCTCAAAGTAGAGTCCTTATACATTGCCTCATGTTGTCTGGCCCATCTTAGTGCTTTTTCCTTCTCCTGGAATCTGTGAAAACATACTACCAGTGGGCGAGGATGCCGACCTTCCTGTGGTTTTGGCCCCAAACATTGGTGTGCTCGTTCCAATTCAGGTGGTTTTTCAAAAACTTCGGGACCCATGACTTCCATTAACATCTTACTAGCTGGCTCATGGAGACACCGTCATTATCTGACAGAGAGTCTTCAGACTTCCCTACGCTAGCCATCGTGGCTAACTTGCTAGCTAAACTGGTTCTCGTCGTTGGTGGGGCATTTGCTACCGTTTTGTTCTTATTCATCTTGCTGTATCAATGCGATTTTCGTAAGCACCACTTCAACCCTTATAAAGACGATTTGGACTGCTTAACTTGCGCTATTAAAGTGTAGTTCATCAGAAACTGTCGGGAGCTCTGCTGACGCGTGTCTGCACCTCACATTGCCAAGCTGGAAGTATCCATGTGCTGATAATTTTAAGAAATGGCATTAAATGTTCACGAACATCATCAGTGAAACACTAAAATAAAGTGTTTTAAATTGTCCAGTTTCAATCTTATGGTGAGTCAGTTGGTTACATTTATTTCATGATTTGTTATGATCAGCTTTTGGCGACATCTGTTTCGTTGGACCACCTCATGGAATGAGTCATGGAGTGGATTCACAATTTTAACAAATTTCAGGAGAGATTTGAATAAATGCTTTTTGTTAAAAATAAATAGCTAAGACTTTTCATTTCTTTATACAGTGATTGTTGGTCAATTTCTTTCTTCTTGCTGCACACATGTTCTGTTCCTGATCACATCACGGGCACATACATTGTAACACTTTAACAACAAAACACCAGGATATGAAGGGTAGTCTGTTGGAAAGACCAATTGAATCTGTGGGGGTCATCTCTTTGTGACCAAACAATCAGACCACATGAAGTCAGTAAATGAAATCACTGCTGGCACTGAAAAGGTTAAACATCAGAGAGAAGGAGAGAGAGAAAACAGAGTGGCCTAACCCCAAATGAAATGCTTTCTTCTTTTGTTTCACATAAACATGGACTCAACCTCCTTCCCTGTTTCTCTCTCTCTCTCTTTCTCTAGTCCACTCATATGTTTCTATTTAAGGCCAGCAGTGCTGACTACCATGATTGGTGTGTTCACCCCCCCTCCCGACTCGCCGTCCAACGGCTGGCTCCCAAAGGCAGTAGAGGGGAGGCCTTTCCTCTGAACTGCACTGTTGATTTTCCACAAGGAAACTTCACCATTCTTCCATTCGTTCTCTCCCCAGTCTTCCCCTCAAACCATTAGCAGCTCCTCTATTTCTCTTTTTTCTTTAGACTTCTCTTTAGAAGTTTGGTTGAGGTCATGGATCCACTTTAGTCACGAGATGCAGCCCCTACAAACATCTTCACCCCGTTCCCTCCTTTTGTTTTGATTCCTTCCAATGCTCCTCAGTCCATCGCTGTGGGCCGGGGGTCGACTCCGCTATATGGCCAGATGTTTTGGACTATGCAGCCAAGTCCTGAGCTTGCGTTCTGATTGGTCAGGGCGGCAGGGAGCGGGGGTCGGCCGATGGCGGCGTACCGGGTGCACAGCGGCAGCAGTGTAGTTGGTTGCGGCGGGCGTTCGCGGGGTGCCACAGCGGGCAGGTGGCTGACGGCCTGTTTCTTCCCCTCAGGGATTGACAGCTCGGAGCCCATGGTGCTGGAGCAGTACGTGGCCGTGGCCAACTACGAGAGGCAGGAGAACTCCGAGATCAGCCTAAAGGCCGGCGAGACGGTGGATGTGATTGAGAAGAGCGAAAGTGGTAAGAGGATTCTTCTTTTGTTTATATGCCAAGCACGTCTGTGACAACCATCCACACACTTAGATCATAACAGAACATTATCATTTACATAAGTTATGTGCTAAATAACATAAAAATGTGGCTTTGTTAAAGAAATACAAGTTCTTGGAATAGCCTGACATTTGGTTTGGCGTTTGGCATTTCTTCCTGTTTGTATCTTCCTCTCTCTGAGGACACAGTAGTAGCACAAACATACTGACATATACATAGAAGCACGCTCACCCAGTAACTCTGTCTCCCTTCTTTCTCCCTTCTTTTACTCCCTTTGTCCGCAAGAGTCCCCCCCCCTCGCTCCTCTGCTCTCCCTCGGTCTCTCCCCTCTTCTCCCAAACTCCTAGCTGAGGCTTGGCACCACCTGGAGGTGCTGTTTGACTGGCAGCAGTCAGTGTGTGTCTGTGTGTGTTGGGGGGGTAGATTGTGGAGGAAAGGCAGTGTGATGGCTGGAGGCCAGTCTCTTTCCTTTTGCAACAAGAATGCAAAGTAAATTCAGATGTTATTGTTCCTCTTAGTAAAAGTGAGAATTGAGATGTTGGATTGGTTACTTTCTGTTTTGGAGCCAGGCTGGTAAAGGTGTAAAGCCAACATTTACGAGGATAAAGGTTTATCCAGTATGTACGCAATGAACTGCAGTGACAATATTTGACTATATTTGATTAATTAATTAAAGCACTTTGTAACTCTACAAATAAAGATTATTATTATTATTATTATTATTATTATTATTATAACAATGCCGATCAACTGAACACCGATACTGTCTGCATCACCATGAGATGCAGCACTTCATGTTTCACCTGGCCCTCCCCCCTGTGGAAATTCTGTTTAGCAATCCCAGAGCTGGTCTTATTTTCCATGCAAACAGCCACTGACAGCCAGCAGCTTGCACAACTCAAGAGAACTCAGCAGCTTGGCACAAATAAGCCGCGTTGCCATTGTTGTCTCTGCTCTTATCTATGCACTTATTATGCATGTGAATTCATTGTCATAGAGATAGAGATATCACATCTGAGTGATTATGTGCCTTAATTAGCCAGTTTTAGCATTGAACCAGCTTGTTATTTTATCATTTCTGTGTATGACGAACATCGCATTTGGTTCATTTCCTATTTGTCCTCTGTCAGCATAAATTAGGTAATTGTTAAATGAAGAGTAAATATGTTGCATGGGAAATTATTTCTTTTTGTGTTGTGGCTTTCGGTCAAACTTGTACTCAAGGAAGTTGATGTCTTCTCAAGATTGACTTCAAGTACGTGAGTGTAATTTCCGGCTTTCCTTTCAACTTTGTTTTTTGAGGTTTGGAAATGTCAAGTGTTCCTGTTAACTCTTTACTTAGTGGGGAATTCAGAAACTATTTGGAATTAGGTGCATGCATCATTGAGTGTTAATAAATATTTATTAGTGTGACTTAGCTACACAGTCATTTTCTTTGGAGATCCCACTTATGAAAATCTGGCTTGACAGCATCTGCTCACCAGACCCATTTGAAAGCCCCATTCTGAATGTTAACATTTAATATTGACTGAAGCACTTACAGCAATATGCCTGAGCTGGATATGTGTGCTGTCGTCATTTACTGGGCCAAAGAAGTGAAGGAACAGCCATGACGAAGATGATGATGACATCACTCGGAGGCTATGCCAAGACAAACACATCTGAGAACTCGTATAGTATCCCACAAACCCCTTCCCCGTTTCAAGGTTTTACTGCAGCCTCCTGGTCTACACGTGCCTATTTGTAGTGCAGTGATGTCTTTTAACCCTCTCCAAGGCAGGCTGTAATCCATATTTCACCTGATTTTTTCTTTAAATGCTGCTTTTTTTCCATCCACATATTGAGCACACATGGTATCATAGATGCATGGTAGCATGTAGATGCTGTTCCTCATTCCAACACTGAATATTTCAACTAGTTATTAAGTGTCTGCAGGCTTGACCTAATTATGGGTTCAACTCCAGAGTTGGATGTTGTTGTTTTGCCCCCGTGAGAAGTTATTGCCCTTGCATGTCTAGACCCAGCTGTTTCACAGTATTGTGTCAAGAAGACCCATTGTCATAGTGAAAACTGGTTAAATCACAAGTTGTGTGTGAGATGAGGGATTGGTGTGTATTTGCATTAGTTTGTTTGGGTGTATCCTGTATCCTTGCACATGTATCTTGCAACTTAGGAACCGCTATATAGTAAAGTGAGATTTATGAAGCACCAAGGGGGTGGGGGCTGGACATGCAATGAAATTGTCCCTGCGAGAGGAGTAGAGGCCTCATCCGGGCCACTGTCCTGGTTTTCTCCCTGTGGTCCGTCCTTGGACATGGGAACCATAGAGCGTCTGGAGAGAGGAATGTCCCAGCTGGAGAAAATAAATCTGCATATGCGACCAGTTAAATTATATGGTGTTTTACACTAAGGAGAGGCAGTAATGTGAAGGCGATGGAGAGGAAAGGTCAGTGTGGTTTAAAAGCCACAGACCTGTGTCAGTACTTGATGAGAACCCCTTTTGAAAAACTTGGACATCCCTCTTGGAATAGCAGATGGGGCACATGGAGCAAAACAGTTAGTACTAGAAGATTAAGAGGCAAGTTTTTAAAGGCATTCGTATTTTTAGTTAGTGACAGTTTTCCTGATGAAGCTGAGGCTGATGGGAATGTCATTAGCCATAAACCAAAGTATTAGTATACAAATCAAAATTTAAACCAGGGATATGGTGCTAGTTGAAAAGTCAGAGGATCACCAAATTGTACCAAAATTCATGGCAATCCATGCAACACTTGTTAAGACATTTCACTTTTAAACTATAAAACAAATCAGGGGAATCCAGAGTGGATAAAAGTGTCAGCAAAATGGAAAGTGAGCATGGACAGTAATAGATGAACACATGGGGATCCGGGATATTTGTTGGCTTTTTAAAGTGCCAAATATATGTACATTCATTTTTGTTCTGGGCCGAGGTGGCCTTGTAATCGCATTCCCAGTTTTAGACAGGTAGGGGACCTTTTTTGCATGTAATCTCTCGCAATTTCTTTTTCTTTCTGCTCTCTACCTAATAAAGACACAAGCACTCAAACAAATACTTGATGTTGTGTACACATGGCCTCATGAGCAGTAATCCTATAGATGTTTTCTTCCTCACTTTCTGATATCATCTCAGACAATTACTTGTAAATTTAAGTGACTAGCGTTCCACTCTGTGGCCACAGTGACAGAGGGGGGAATATATGTGGGGGAAAATACCCTTTTTTCCCTTGTTCCATCAGCCGAGACTAATGGATCTGCCAGGAGGACCTTGACACTAAACTGCAAACAGGATCCTTTGGGTTAGCGTACCGCCCGAGCCACAACACCAGGCGGAAAAGCCATTTGCCGAAATATCTTGGCCCTACTTGCTGTTTTGTCACAGTTGATTTAAAGAGATTAGACAGATTTGCTTACCTATCTCTGGACTTGACTCTACACCCCACATAGAGTACAACTTCCTGTTGGGTTGTCAGTTAGTACTAATCCTCTATTCTGGAAAGTGATAACAGCTATGTTTTTGTAAATTTCTGTGGACTATATGGAAACACTGAAGATGTCTCTCAGTTATGTGGTATATTTCTTGTCAGTAGGCTTACACAGAATCCTGGTTTTGATGTTTGAGGCAAAGGAGTTTATTGTTATGGCCCATCATAAGGTAAAATCCCAAGTAGGAAACCAACAAATACAGTTTTAACATATGATACGTTCAGAATTAATAAAAAGCCTATACTATGGAACAGTGCTTAGCAGAGCTCTGCAGCGATGATGGCGGGGAGCGGTCGCGGGGAACAGTGGAGCTGCTCGCGCAGGCAGGGCTTTTGTTGCTCAGCTCTGCAGGTACAATTCTGTTGAGATAGAATCAATGCCATGAGTTTGGCAACATTTTCACGCCACACCTTTCCCAGTGTGCACGAGATCTGGTGAGGCTGGCAGCACTCAGTCTAACCCACAATGCCTTTCCAAGGGTTTGTCCTCAGTGCTTTGCTTGGTCTGGCTGTACCCTGTGCAGACCAGTTTCATAAAGTGAAAGCCTGGAGCTGAAATTTAGTATCAGAACCACGCATTGCATTATGTCATTTGCACCACATGCTTTTGTTAGTTTAGGGTAAGCCTTACCTTAAGGCTACAAAATAATTACATTACTGTAGTGTAGTGGCTTGAAAATGTCAAGAAATTCCTCTGAATTAAAGTCAGTGTATTGGACTGCCTGCCGCTTAAGGCTCTACCCCTTGTGTTAAGAAACCATAGTCAGTAGGCTTACACAGAATCCTGGTTTGCGATGTTTGAGGCAAATGAGTTCATTATTATGGCCCTAATCATGATCATTCACTAATAATGCCCATCATAAGGTAAAAACCCAAGCAGGAAACCAACATATACAAGTTTAACATGTGACACATTCAGAATGAATAAAAAGCCTATACTACATAACAGTGCTTAGCAGAGCTCTGCAGCGATGATGGCGGGGAGCGCTCGTGGGGGACAGGGTTTATATGCTCCGATGTGGTAGTGAATAGTTGAAACGGAGTTATCGTCATCATACAGGTTGGATCTATGTTAGAAACGAATGTGTTGAAACGGACTTGTAAAAGTTTTATTTTTTATGTTAAGTTCTAAGGAAGCACTGAATATCCAGCAGAATCTTGTTTCAGTGTTATTAATGCTGTAGGTCAGGGGTTGTCACATTAGTTTGAGTGACCGGTTAGCTCAGTCAGTACTGCCCGGGCCTTTCAATCGGAGGGTTGTGTGTTCGGTCATATTTTCTTACTTTTCATAGTTAATTCAACAAATTAACTATGAAAAGACTGTTTTATATGCTCAAAATAAAGCATGTGCTGTAGTGTGTGAGTCCCGGCGATTGATCCACATCTATCAACCTATAGACACTTATTTTAATTTCCCCAACATCTCCAGGCAGGGAAAATTCCTGTGCTTCTCATTCTGGGGAATCC